ATTCCGAGCGGATCGACCGACAGACTATGAGGTCGCTATTGAACGTCGCTCGTGCGTTTTTCTCCCCGCGTGCACCCTGCGACATTGGGTTACCCTACGGAAATCGCCGTTACCGTTATCGGTTTATGTTAATGTTTAGCGACAACCGTCAACAGTAGAACACCGTCCGGCGAAAAATTCCCGTCGTTTAAGCCACGGCGTGAGAAAAATCCGACTAATTTTTCCGAGGAAAACGTACAACACGTTTCGGTAATATGTAACGGCTATTTCACCGCGTTGAAAATCTGAACGGTCTGAAAACCCGGCCGTGCACCGCGGTCGCGTATTCGCCGCGTACCATGCGATTCCGGCCCGGGCGGCACGTGCGAGGACGACCCGTCGTGGTTGGTTTCTCGTCGGACGGAGTCCGCTGCGCACATCCGCGGCACTTACGGCGGGACGCAACAACTCCTGCGGACCGAACGTCGGGTCCGAACCGACCGGTAAATACCGCGACGGTTCGAAAAACTCCCGGACCACACCCCTCCCCCCTTCCCCTCCCCTCCCCTCAACCGGTTCGGTATTGCGCGCGGTCGGTCCGGGCCGAACTCGGATCGGCAGCAACCGTTTAAATCGCGTACGCGTAATACCGTGCAGTGTACTACAGGCGACAACAACGATTTATAATATTATTTGATTTGAATTTTTTTTTTTTTTTTTTTGTTTACTATTATTCGAAGAGGTCATTAAACAAGCGGCGACCGCGATGACAGCGACGTCGAGACAACGGTACACGAAGTGGCCAATATATTTTTTTTTTTCACGTATTTATTACCGGCGACCCGATTCCCGCCGTGACTGCGGTAATAATGTCGCGCGCCGGGGTTTCGGACGATAAATAATAACAAAACAGAAGTAACAAAAAACAAAAAAAGAAAAAGAAAAAAAAAACACAACACCGTACGGACGGAATCCGCGGTCGCGGCGAAGACACTTTGAAATACTTTTCAAATACCTACACAGTATTTGAAAAGAAACTGTCGGGGAACGCCAATGTATTTTCAACACTTGTTTAACGTACATGCGTACACGTTTTTTAACTACAAAAGCGTATAGCGTACATAATCGATTTTTTTTTCGCTAACTGCGTACTACTATAAGTTGCGCATTTTTTTTTTCGAACCCGTCGAAACGGCGCATTACGCATAAAACGCAAACAGCCGATTAGTTTTTCACGTATGCGAATCGAACAGCTAGTTAGCCGAATTACCCGCTCGCCGCACTTGTACCACGTACCCTTGCACCGACGTCTCGCCGAGAGCCGAAACGCAGAGGAATTTAAACGGACGCAACAACGTCGCCATTGAAACAACACGGCCGCCGTTTTGTTTCCGGTGCGATAACGTCGAAGCGCGGGGCGCAGTGACCGCGATAACATGTGATGCGCGACGCGCAATCGTTTTTCACGCGTATGGTCACACGAGGGGGCGACACCGCCAAACCACCGAACTCCGCTCAGAATCGTTTTTCCGTCGGCGATCTGCCAACGCGAACGCTAAGATACGTGCATTATCGAACCGCCCAGAACAGTGGCTGGGCCCGGTTCCGTTATCGCCTGGGCGGGCTTTTTCAAATCGTTCCCGGCAAGACCGTTTCGCTGACGTATGTACTGTCGATCTTCTTCACGCTCGACCGGACAGCGACCACAATGGCCGCGATTCCGTTCGTCAAAACCGTTTGTCCGTTTCGACGGAGACGTTTTCCCGCCGCGGCGGCGAGGTCGCGTCGTTCTACGCGCGGTTACGACCGCGTTCGTAAACACCCGTCGACGTTTTCTCCCCCGTCGGTAATTGTCGCTCGCGGTTTTTTTATCCGTTCCGATAAATTGGGCCCCGATTAGGACGGCGCACTCGGTCCCCCCCCCCTCGATTCGGTTGATCTGGAATATTTTTCCACGGGCATTACAGTACTCCTAGTTACGCCACTGCTTCTCACCAACAACAGTGGCCCATAGCCGTGGTGCGCGGTATGCTTCAAACACGTCCGTACGGTAAAACGATAAAGTATAGACGCTAAGGCCCAATAGGTAAACGGTTGAACGTTCTGTTATCAATATTGCTATTGTTTTTAATGATAACGAACATAACTCTCGTAATCGCCGTAACGCGGCTATAATAACAACGAGGAGGGGGACAGCGCGTGAAAACGACGGGAAATCGATCGTCCTAATCGCATTAGCCGAAAGCGTTTTTAACCGGCGAGTGTGTTATCCGAAAACATTTGACGGTTGACCGTGAAAAAGCCGAACGAACGGCGCGCGATAATAAAACGTGCGATAATGTGTTTCGGTGGCCGTCGGTTCAGTGCGTGTTTCTGTACTTTCGTTTTTTTTTTTCTCTTCAACGTCAGTCAGTAACACCGTTTCCGCAATGTTGTATTATAATCGCGATAATTAGTTCGCCGGCGACGTTCGGCGTTTTGTAATCAAAAACGTTTTCCGATTTTTCGAAACTCGGGAGGCCCATTCGACGAGTTCGGCTTGTGTTACGATATTTTCGAAAAAATCGTTGTATTTTTTTTTTTTTTACGTAAATCGATAAAACTCGGCGGTTGTCGGGCTACACGCAATTGTATTTCACGCGTTCGACGCACTCGCCGAAAAATATTATTACGGCGCCAAACACGCGCGTACGCGCATCTCAACTGGTTCCATCGTCCGCGCCCTTTCTCGGATATTTTTATTTATATTTTTCGTGGACAAATCGTTTGTGTTTCGATGTGATCTACATGTGTATATGTATAATGTAAAAAATATTTTTGAAAAAAATTTCACAATTTTTCCCGGACAATTCTCGCGAGTACACTATGCGTTATAACGTTTTTATTATCTTACGTTTCGACGCGTCGGCGGCGATATTTTCGACGTTCCGCTAAAATGCGGCCGTTTTTCATTGGACTTTTTAGATTCCGAGTGTAACGGAGAATGTATTGGTCGTAAATAGATGTTTAATTTCGGTTTCGTTCTCCGTACCGCGCACGAATATTCTACCTGGAAAATCTCGCCCCAGGATCGTGCGTATGCGATGCGGACGGTTTTCCGAGAGGAAATTTTTGGGGGCACTGTAGGGAGGCCGTTTTTCGATTTGTTCAACAAATGTGAAAAACCGTGAGAAAACACGGCGGCGAAACCGGGAAACAAAGTGCTGATATAACATCGGAAACGGATATTATCAAAGAAATTCAATTGTTATTTTGCCATATGACGACGCGATATACGCACACGTATATGTATTTTTAACAAAGCCTCAATGTCCGCCGAACTACGGTCGGAATCGCGAGCGGATACGAATCCGTTTCCCCGTCACATCGTACACGTTAATCCCGACTTTTCGCCAAACCGTACGGCGCCCGTCCCCCGTTTATCCCGGGACGGCTTCTCTTCTCGTTCTTTTGTCCGTAGCCCGCCCGTACGAGGCACGCGAAGCGATTACACGCGCGGCCGCGGAGAAAGGCGCGCGGGCGCGCGACGGACGGACGGACGGACGGTCGTGATGGGCGAAAGCGGTCCGACGGCGCGGCGTTTTCGCCTTCTCCGGTCGCGTTTGTTTGTTTTTTTTTTTTTTCGCCGTCGGGTCGATTACCGCGCGGCAAAACGGCCGGCCGCGTTATAGTCGACCGGGGCGGGGGAGGACCTGTGCGCCGGTACGACGCGACGGCCGCGCAATTATCACGCGCGGGCACGCGCGACAATGACAATTCGCGCGGACAGGCGAAAGTCCCCGGGCCGCCCGACACCGGAAGAACCCTCCCGAGACGCCGCGGTAATAACCGCCGCGACATAATGTCATATTGTTGTTGCCGCCGTGACGCGCGCGCCCGCGCAATGCGACCACCGTTACCGACGGCGGCGACCCGATTACGTCGTTCCGTCACGGCGGGCCGTTTTCTCGGGCGCGTGGCGGTCCAGGTCCTCCGCGACGTCCCGCGCCGGGTAATTACGGCCGGCGGCGGCGGTCGGCCGTTTCGCGTCGCGGCGATAATCGACGGCGGCAATTGCGCGCGGTTAGGTAACGCCGCCGTCGCCTCGTCTCGTCTCGTTTCCCGTCCGCCGCCGCCGGGTCAGAACGCCGCCGAAATAATGTCGCGCTGACCGAAAAACGGTGTTACGCGTCAACGGTCTAATGTAATGGCGGACCGACGGACGTACGGCGTTACGAACGCGCGCGGATTATGCAGTCCGCGTAACGACGCGCGGCCGGGGCCGGATCGCGGTCGCGGTCCGCTGTGAAGAGCCGTGCCGATGGGAGGGGGTGCTGTTGCTGTACACGCCCGGGGGCTTTGTACGCGTGAAAAATCGCGCGATAAACCGCACCGGCGGCGGCCCGTTCGCTGCGCAGGCGCTAGGACAAAAAACACACCAACGGAAATACCGAGAAATCGTGGCGCCCTTTTGTCGGCGGCCCGCAACGGTTTTTACACGGTTTTTTCTCCGGTTTTTTTTTTTCGTTTTTTTCCTCATACCCGCGCCGCTCGCAGACCGCGCAGACCGACGGCGATACGACAACAATAATTACCGAACGTTACGAAACTCGCGCGCGGACCGTTACCGGAAATCGGCCGCCTCGCGGTGTCGACGCGCGCGCGAATCGCGATAACGATTCGTTACCCAACCGTTCGCTATGGGCGTCCAGCGCCGATTCGCGCCGATTCGCGTTCGGACCCGGCCGACTTTCGCCTCAAATCGAGACGAGATTCGACGCCGGGCCGTCTTCGCGAAACGATTCGTGACGTCCGTATGTCGCCGCGTGTTGTTCGGCGTTCGATATGTGAACAAATAAAGACGTGTGTTTTTCGAGGGACGCACGGGTCACGGCGGCCGTTTTCGGTCACGCGGTTACCGGGTCACCGGCGCAACTAGTGGGTGAGAGGGGGTTTCGAGCACTCGTGACCCGACGAGCGTTTGGTGCACGTCTGTTATGACAAGTGAAAATTTAATTTTCCATCTACGATTACGAAAAAGTGTATTTTGGAAAAAAAAGAACAAATAAAAATAAAGCTCGACTTCTGACAAGTGTGAGACTAATATTGACTGAATATTTTTTCCGCGTGTTTCGTAATATTATTGACGAACGGATCGGAACACGGATCACCTCTACGGACAGTACATGTGCGTGCATAAAGAATAATATAAACAGTCACGTCGTGACGGGAATCGGAAAAGATGGATTTTCACAAAAAACAGAGATTTAGGCCTCTTAAAAACCGTTCAAGTGTTCAGTGTTTTTACAGTATAAAGCAAGTAAAATGTTTTCCATGAAAATGTAAAAATAAAACACAACAACCAAAAGATTAAACTGCTTTTGGGTTTCGGATGCGTTGAAATCCGAAAATCCGGAATCCGAAATCTGAAAGCATATTATAGTTAAAGTTAAGAGTTTCTTTTTTCGAATTTTTATTCAAACATTTAACTTAGGCACATAGGCTTTGTATATTGTAATAGTATTTAATATTTATAAGATTTTAAAGGGGCTTAAATAGTGTTTTTTTTTTTTTTTTTGAAAAACCCGGAATTTTGCATTCCCATAACCAGTTTTAAACTAGATAAAAAAAAAAAAAAACCGTTAGCGAAAAGTGTCGAGTTTTAGCACGCCCAAATCGGTGGTTTAGTTGCGCCTACAGGTATGGTTACTGCGGTCGCGGTTACCGCTTCTGGTCCGCGGAACCGTGAACGCAGCGAACAACGTGATGACAATAACAACAATGATGGTGATAATAATAGTAATGAATAAATTCGGTCGGTTTTTTTTTTTCGTTTTGTTTTTTTATATAAAAAAAATCGAATCGTATATTTTTGTTCGTATAATATTAAAATATAAATCGTATATATATATATAAAAAAAGTGGGCGTTTATTATAAAAAAAAAAAAAAAATGGCGAACGTTTCGCGAGCGCGCGCGCGCCCGTTTCGAAAATAATAATAAAAAATATATTTGAGCTTTGGACTAATAAAAAAAAAAAAAAAATTAAAAAGGAATAATTAATAACGTATCAAATATTTTATGTATATATATATATATCTCGATTTAAAAACTAATTTATTATATATATATATTATTATATTATATTATGTATATATATATATATATATAAAACGCGACAAATACGTAACGAAGTGGGAGGGGGGAAGGGGTGTTAGGCAAAGGGCCGTAAACGAGAGGAATCGTATATATAGAGGGGAGGGGATATTATTGGGGGTGGGAGGGGGGTCGGGGAGGGTCGGTTCGCGGCAAGACGCCGGTCGTTTTGCGAACGCCGCCGCCGTACCGCGGACCGCGAGAAATTAACAATCAACGGTTTCTCGCGGCCGCCGACGACATAGGATAGGTGATAGTGTTGTGCGCGTGAAATGTCGTGTCCGTGTTTGGTTTTTAGGTGTACATCACTAGTAAGACGATCCGCTGGAGCTCGGGGCGCCGTAGCTGGACGACGGGCTGGCCACGCTCGGGGCACCGTAACTGGATCCGGGTCCGCTGGCTCCGGCCAACGACACGCTACCGCCGCCACCGCCGCTGGAGTGTCCGACGGCCTCGGCGCCGCCGTAGCCGCTGGACGCCGCGTATCCGCCGCCGCCGGCTTCCTTTTGGGTCTTGTACTTGATGAAGTATACCTCGGGTTTGGACGGGGCGGTGGGCACCGGGGTCGGGATGCTGATTTGCGGTTGGTCTTCGGGCCGCTTGACGAGCACGTAAATCAGAGTCTTCTCGGAGTCTTGTGGCTGTTGCGGTATGATCGGGGCGGTCGGGGTCGGCGGGGTCGGGGCCTTGATGAAGATGATTTTGTAGTGTTTCTGGGGTGGCGCTACCGGTTGGATCTGTTGTGGGGCGACGTATTCCTGTTCTGGGGGCGGCACGTGGACGTAGATGTGCTTCTGCACGACCGGGGCGGCCGGAGCGTAGTTGTATCCGGCGCTTCCGCCGCTGGCGTATCCGCCCGAGCTGCCGCCGCTGGAGTATCCGCCGGAGATTCCGCCGCTGGAGCTAGCGTAGCCGGAGCTGATCGGGCCGCTGGAGTAACCGGAGCTGATCGGGCCGCTGGAGTAACCGGAGCTGATCGGGCCGCTGGAGTAACCGGAGCTGACTGGGCCGCTGGAGAAACCGGAGCTGACCGGGCCGCTGGAGTAGCCGGAACTGCCGCTGGCGTAACCGGAACTGCCGCCGCCGAAGCTCAGTCCAGTGCTGCCGCCGGACGAGTAGCCGCCGCCGCCGCCGGACGAGTAACCGCCGCCGCCGCCGCCGCCGCCGCCGGACGAGTAGCCGCCACCGGACGAGATCGGTGCGCTGTACGAGTATCCCGCCTCGGGTCTGGCCAATGCCAGGGTGGCGAGCGACGCCAAAACCTGGAAGAGAAAACACGAAACGGCCGTTAGGTATATTGCGTGGAAACTGCCGTTGTGGCAACGCAGGCGAGACGGTCTCGAACAATTGTTTGTTTTTCGAGTTTTACGTTGTGCGTCGCGATCGAGTATCGAATAACATAACCGTCAGTCGTGGAGGCAACGAAAAGAGTATCGGCCCGTCGGGATTTTATCGTGCTGCCGAATTCGCAGTGGAAAAAAAAAAAAAACGAAAAAGGGGAAAAAAAACAAAAACAAAAACACCGCAGAGTAGTGCGCGGTGATCGAGATATTATTGTTGGCGGAGAACGCAGAGACGGTTTAAAAAAAAAAAAAAACGTTCGAGACATACGAAAATAAAAAAATAAATAAAAACCGCGTGTTTACGGGTACTCACCACGAAACGCGTTTTCATCATTTTGCCGGGAGTTTTATTTGATAAACTGTTCAAAGAGAGCCGCCGTCGAATGTCGGGCTGTTGTCGGGCTCGTGTCGACCGTGTTGTGCTGCCGCTGCTGGTGCTGTCGAGATGCTGCTGGTTGTCGGATCGCCGGTGGAACGGTAACTGATGATGAGCTAAAGTTACCGGCGCTTCTTATACTCCCGGGAAACGGGCAACTTGGACGCGGGCGAAGAGAAAAAAAAAACAAAAAAAAACAAAATAAAAAAAAAAAAAACATTCACTTTTCGTACCGCCGACGGACACGTACCTGTACGTGCGCACGGGTGACGGGAGGTGGCGTGCCCGGCAACATCGACTATCACTCTCCTTCTCGATCGCTATTAGGCGTTTATGTTTTTTTTTTTTTTTCTCCTTTTTCTTCTTCTTTCTTTCGTTCGCCTCTCGCGCGCGCGCGCGCGCGCGCTCGCGTCTTTGACCCTGCCGTCGTCGCGGAACCCGCGAGTAATAACACGCGTACAAATCGGAGGGAAAAAAAAAAACAACGAACCCGTCTCGCGGAGTAAAACACTCCCGGCACGGTGACTTTACCGCCGTAACGATACGTTTTTATTATCATTCGTCATTAGTGTTGTTTCGCGGCGATCGCGTTGCCCGCGGCCGGTCGCCGTTCGTAACGTCCGCGGAGTGGCCGTCCGGGCCTCGTCGGCACCGTTGCGGCGCTGACGCGCGGCACACTCGCTACTCGTGTGCTCTCCGCGACGGTGCGGCGTTTGTTTTTCGGTTTATTTCACGGAGAGTCGAACACGAAAAAAACAACCGATCAAACTCACGCGCCCGAGTGCGCGTTTCCAGTTTTTCGCGATTGTCGTTGTTATTTTTTTTTTTTTTTTTAACACGTTTCAATTCGTTTTGTCGGCCGCATTTTGAAAAAAAAAAGAAAAAATACCGGAGTAAAAAAGCAAAAAAAAAAAAAAGAATAAAAAAAGTCGTCTCCAGAATTCTATGGTCGAAACGACACGTCGAGTTTCTCAAAGACCGCGCATTTTATCCGCACGCTGTCGTGTTGTATGCCCGCGGTAATGAACTTGTTGCGTTCGCGCCGGTATTCGCCCAGAAGTAAAAATGATTTTCTTTTCCCCGCCCCCGTCGGTTTTCCGACTTTTCCGCCAAAAATATTGCTCCGATTTTCGCGCTTTTTCGGCGGGATGATCGGTTCTAATTTGGCTCGTCGAAAAGGTCGTCGTTTAACTTCCTTGCCGTCTTCGGGATAAAACGTGGGAAGGGGGGAAAGTATAGGAGAACCGTACGAGTTCATATGGAAAATAACGATTTCATTCTTCCAGACTTTTGCGGATCTCGTTATTCTACACCAGGAATCCCGTTCCGGAATTGAGGTGTAACATTTTTTTTTTTTTTTTTTTTTTTTTTTAATTAATTTTCGTTCCGAAGTTTTGCATGTTTCGCGGTTTCAGCGCTGTTCTGTTAAATTACAGTGTTTAGCACGATTTAATCTGTTTGTGTTGTGGAATTTCGAAGGAGGACTAAATAAATAACGTTATCAATTCGGTTTTATTTTTCTTACATCCGATCAACTCCCCCGGCGTATTTCAACGTTTCTAGTGGATATTTAAGAGCTTTTAATATATGCACGTTTAAAAAGAAAAAAAAACAAATCCTTGCTCACGAAGCATATTTCTAATAATTCCGGTAGTAAAGCGTAAAAAAACAAATTCGAGGTTAATGTTATGATTTGTTCAATTTCGAATATATTAGAATGTTAATATTCAGTGTACGTATATTTTTATAGAGTTCGCGCGAAGAAACTGCAGACTGCGGTTTTACTGAGATGTGATTTTTTTTTTTGCCCCCGTTGAACAATAATTCGGCCGGTAAAAACGGTCAGATTTTTGCAGCGGCCTGCGGTACACTTTATTGTGATGTTTTTTTTTTTTTTGCCCCCGTTGAACAATAATTCGGCCGGTAAAAACGGTCAGATTTTTGCACGCCCCGCGACACACTTTATTGTAACGTTTTTGTTTTTTTTGCCCCCGTTGAACAATAATTCGGCCGGTAAAAACGGTCAGATTTTTGCACGCCCCGCGACACACTTTATTGTAACGTTTTTGTTTTTGTTTTTTTTTTTTTTTTTTTTTATCGAAAACCGCATTTTCGGTCAGTAAAACCATTTCGGTAATATTAATCATATCGTATACCTTAAAAGTCGAGATTCTGTGACGGGCACGGGTACTTTATTGTGTAGAAAAATGTCTGAATTCCCAACGGTTCGATGAAAAAGTTTAAAAAACTAACGACAAACGTCGCTGATACATCGTTTTCATTGAGTTTCGAATTACTTTTAGAAAAACGCAATTAAAATACAACGGTTGCAATAATTTGCTTATAGTATACGTAAAATAAATGTACGTGCGTCCTAAACCATTCAAACTTCTCGTTCACCAGAGTGGCCTATCCACGTCACGGAGTATGTGCGGCTTTTCTCAATGTATAAAAACGTGTAAAAATAAAAAAAAAAAAAGTAAAATATATACGAAATTGTGAGTGCAAAATAACTTTTTTGTGTTAACATTGTACACGTCGCGCGTTCGAGATTGTCTATGAGATGGCGGCGATTACAAATTGTAGAAAAAAAAAATTGTATTTTTGGCCTTAATGCAATTGAAAGTCTGGAAGTAGCGCGGCGGATGAGAAACGCGCGTCTCGTCTTCTCTCCCACGATACAAACCGCAAGTACAATAATAACGTTCGCGCGTATTAGGTATACTAGACAGCAGTACGGGGACTTGTACGTTTTTTAAAAACGTTTTTTTCCCCGAGACATTCGACCGATTTCCGTCTGCGATTCTGTACCGGGTGATTTTATCAAACAACACTCATTGTTTCGAAAGGTATTGACTTTTTTCGAAAACTTTAAAAAACGAACAGTTCTAAAATGTTATTTTATTATTATTAATTTTTTTTTTTTTTGGTACCCATTTATTTCGGAAAATGTACCAACTTGAACTTGAAAGTGGATCATATATCATCTCGTCAACGGGTTGACGGAAATCAAAAATTTCAACACCGAAATTTACTTTAAATAATACTCCATCTATTTAAGACATTTTCAATATAGGTTGCCATTTGAAAATCAAAAGTAGGCATTAATTCCACACCCAAAATTAAGGGGTAAAAAAAAAAAATGATAACATAACATTTAGATTTATTCATTTTTTAAGTTTTCGAGAAAAAAAAATTTCGAAAAATGTCAATATCTTTTGAAATAATGAGTGTTGTTTGATAAAAAAATCATCTACGTATACCAAAAGTATCTAAAGTATACGTGTCTGGATTGAATTACAAAAAAAAAAAATAATAAAAAAACAAATTAAACGCGGAGAAAAAATTACCGACGAAATAGCAAAAATACTATAGAATAGAGAAGTTTTTTTTTTTTTATAATTTAAAATATTTAAATTGTGTCGCTTATATGAAATTTAACATTATTATACTATCTGTACGTACGTGTTTTAAATATCTCAATAAGTTTTTGAATCGCGTCTATTTCGAGTGAAATTTTTTTCGTTCGGATCACCTTCCCGTCGAAAAAAAATATCCAATAAATACATTGCTGCAGCGTTTTAACTACGTGACCGAACAGTTTTATGCGTTTGAAAAAAAAATGAAAAAAATGAAAAAAAAAAACAATTAAAACGAATTTACTCGCGTGGCCGTTTTCCGATAATAATGACATATTTATCGCATCAGTTGACAAGAGCAAGAGACGATATTTCGATTGAAATAACATTCGCGGCAGGACGGAGTCACCGGCCGAGATGCCAGCGAATTTTAAATACTGAATGGAGCGAGGAATGATATGCATTGGTTTTACAATGGCGTTTATTTGTTTTAATTTTTTTTTTTTTATGCGAACACTTTTTCTACCAGAAAGCTTACTCCGATTATCCTATACAGCATCTTTTCCGAATGGAAATGTTCCCTGGGAAGTACACTTTGGAGTGGTAATATTTTTGAAATCACCGTTAATATTCGAAATTATGATGGAAACCCGGTTATTTAGGTTAAAAAAAAATTGATAGATTAAAAATAAGTTTGTCGTTGGCAACCGTTTTTATTTATTTTTTGTTATTATTAAGTTTTTATTATTTTAATATTTTCTAAACAATCATTGTTGTCACGGAAACGCACATTATTGTAATCATTTTTAACCATAATTTGATGACATATATTATATTATTTACAAA